ATAACAAAATTCCAAACGACATTAAACAATAGAATACAGGATTATTTAAGAAAACATTTAAAAAAATATTAACTGCAAAATGCTATTATAATGTTAATGACTTCCTTAATGACAAATCTTTATAAATGTAGCAAACCTATTTAATTACTATTTACTACTTTATTATATACATTGTTAACATCATTGTATTGTTAATGCCATTGTATAATTATTTTTGATGATTTTTTTTACTTGATGATGATGATGATGATTGATAATTCAGTTACTTCATGTTCTGATAAATTATTTAGTAGATATTATACCTTTTGTCATAACTCATTAATTATCTGTTACAGCTATTTTTATTTTCTATTTTTTTCATATTTGTACACCAACTATGGTCAAACATGTTGATTCAAAGTTATAACTTTAAGACCAATAATAAACATCAAATGTATTATTATCTACACATGTTTTTGCAAATAAATATATCTTTATCTTTATCTTTATCTAACCTTATTTACTTTAGCACGCGGCAGCTCAATAGTCTGACAAACGGATTTTATGTTGCATTGAATTTCTAGCGGGTAGTGATCAGACCAGTAAACACCATAATGTACTTTTACCGTTAGCACCTTGCTTAGTGCAGCTTCAGTAACAACACAGTGATCAAGCCATCTATGGCTTCCGTGCGCTTCACTAACAAAAGTGTATGCATTGGAATTTATACCTAACATTTGAATATCCACACATGTCCAATTTTGTTCACTACAGAAGTCTAGAAGTTCATTGCCAAACAATCCCCCGGGGTGAGCGTTAAAATCTCCTAAAATATATACGGTTTCGATATTGCAAGTTTCATCTATAGATGCAATTTCACTTAAACATTGAACATATTCTAAGAGATTGTCAGATGAGTCTGTAGTCAGGTATATAAACAGTGAAAATAAGTATTAGCCGTTCCAACACACACGCCTTAATCGCACTAATTCGATTACTTTCACATGGAATCACAGACACACACTTAAACTTACTGTTTCTCCATAACAGTGCTACGCCACTGTACGTTCGCCCACACAGTATCCCACTAGATATGTCCACAGCTGACTTACCGCAAAAACCAAAGTCGTTGCTTATTTTACCAAGTTCCGGTATCTCGTGAGGTAGGAGCCAAGTTTCTTGCAGCGCAATAATATCGACACTTTGACCAAGCACTTTTACTGCGTCAATGGATCTTTTGAAAGACTTACAATTAAAGCTAATTCATTTTAAATTAATATTGTTAGTCGTACTATCCATTTAAGTTCATTATTTTTGCGCCAGTATCAGAATTCTCTTGTCTGTTTGAATGTCTCTTGCTAAATTCAATAAAACGACGGAATGTTATACCATTGGGCCACAGGTTACAGTCCAAGAACAAACTTAAATTATTATTAGGTACATATATTTTATATGAGTTGTATTCTCTCTGTTGCTTGGATTTGATCTTATGAAGGGTCACTTCCACATTCGTTTTACTTTTTATGATAAGATACTATGTCTTCTTCACATGTTTCTTGGTGCACATTATTTATAAAGATAGGATATTCTGGTATTCACAGCTTTAAAACTACTTTTAATAACGGTGCACGTTCCCTTTCTACCTAAAAATCTGTTTTGACGCTTTTTCCTCTGTACAATTTGCCAATCTTCATCCCGCCTATTCAAAGCGCTTTGCAATTGCGGTGATTGTATCAGCTGATCGTTCTCTGCACCGACACCTGCAGAGGTATTAGTCACAGCAGTAGCTGAGGCGCCATGCATTTGTACCGCGGTTTCGACAGCCGAAACCGCAGTGGGCTCCTCCACGCGCATGCTAGCCGGGCTCGGTGCAACAGATAAATTGCCTGCAGATATCAAATGCGACAGGGACAGTGAGTGTTGCTCATTCGTCCTCCTGCCGCTTTGTCAGTAACGGTCGGATTGTTATTTTTGTTGTTTACCGTCTCTTGAGTAAAGTGTAAAAATTGTGTAGGCCCACTATCACCGTTATATTCGGAGCCATTTAGTATGCAGTTTGTACCTCGCTTTGTATTAAAAAAGTTATCCTGCTGGAGATTGTTGACTATCGGTGTTTGTTGTAGGTTGATGATTTCATTTTTTAATTTTGAAAACTGGTCTATAGGTGTATACGTCTCCCTGATAGTTTCAACTTCAAGTCTGAGGCTAATAATGTCCTTCAGCAATCTTGTCACGTCTATATGGTCAAAAGTGACCAGAGGTAGTTTTTGTAGGTCGCGAGCGACAAAAATTGGCAATTCTTCAGGGTCTTTCTGTTTTATCAGAGCTATTATGTCCTCTAGGTCTCGTTGGGTTTACCTTCCCTTTTGCGCTTAATCTGTCTTCCCGAAGTCTTAACTGATGTAAACAGAAGATTTTTAGCTGCACTAATGTCTTCTGGCTTAAATGCCGTAATACTTAGTCTGATCATTGAATCTTCGTCCATCACATCACACTTGTTCTGTATAAACGCCAGAACCTCGTTTATAACTAAATTACAATTCGCGCACTTTAACATTTTAGAGGTCGTTGGACCCTCCATTGCAACTGTAACGGTGGATTCAATATATGCGACAAATAAATAATATTTTTCGGAAAAAAATTAGCAAAAATAAACGTGTGACATCTGACGTTCCATACGTAAATGTGAATACGGTAATGTAAAATGTGTTGATTAAACGTAAAAAACCTAGCTTCATTCAGTGAGTAGTGTTACATACAATGTGATTCTTTATAATGTGCACATATCGAAATGAGGGAATCTATGCTTAATTATATCGATGGAAAAAATATTTGAAAAATCTAAATACTTTTTTAGATTTTTTATGGAATTTTTAAAAATTTTGTCCGCTACTGTGACCCTAGTGTAGACAAAACGGTGTAAATTTTAAACCAAATGATCTATCGCGATGAAACAAACTCCATAATGATTGGAAGTAATTAGGCATCCTCATAAAATAAAAATTATGGAAAAAAACTGTCCACAATTGAAAATAATCACGATTTTTTTTAACAAAAATCAGTTTTTTTTTTCATCGATTTTTACAATAACCAAAATTTCTCAATAAAACACTTATATTACGTACCTTTTTATTACTTAAAGTTATTTTTCATCGGATCAACTAACCAACAGTAAAAATTGCATGTTTATAACTCAATCATACTATTTTCTATCAAGTGTTAAAAAAATGGCACTCCGAACACGCCAGTTATTGTTGTTAAGGATGATTTATTTGGAAGAGTTCTATTAAAAACATTTATTATTTTACCATTGTTATCCCCGAGAGCTATCTCGGGGATAACAATGCATCTGTAGCCTTCGTTGCTTGAAGTTAGTTGTAGGTGTCTATGGATTGCAGTAGCCACTTACCATCCGGTAAACTGTCAAGTTCGTTTGTCATCTCAGTTTTTTTTACGTGATAGAGCCATGCTGCAGCTATATTTGTAGTATAGTTGTAGTACGAATGGGTCAGCTAGACCGGGGTAGGACCACGCTCTCACAGAATACCAGCGTAAAATAGCAGCTTAACACTGCTGTGTTTCGTATGGTGAGTGTAGAGAACCGGAGACCCTTTTTACTGGATAAGAGGCTTTCCAACTTAGTCCTCACGGGTGACAACGCATATGCATTTTGATTCGTAATTGAGGAAAGATGTAGATGTCTATGGGCCACAGCAACCACTTACTATCAGATGGACTGTGTGCTCGTTTGTCACCCTATTATATAAAAAAAAAGTTAAAAAAGTGGTCAGTATGCTTCGTTAGAAAATCTTACACACAGCCAAAGAAGATTAGTCATTTTATATTATCTTACAAGTCTAATATCTCTTTACAAGACGTAGGACTGAGTGTTTGTGAATGTGGTCTCCCTGATATAGCACACATTATTAAAAAGAAAGATGCGTAAAAATTCCATATCATAGAAACAACAGATGATCTGTGGTAAAAATAGTCTTGTCAAATAAGGTTTGAAATCAAAATTTGGCACTCAACTTTGCATTGTTGATATAATGTAGTTTTAATGATACAAAAACAATATGTAAAGGTTTTCGTGTCAATAACGCCCGACAAATGTTGAAGAAAAAATTGTTTAATTTTAGAGACATGTTTTTATTGTTAAAAAAAATAGAAATTACAAATAGAAATTTCAATGCTTAAAAACTTCTGAATTATTTGTTCTTTGCCATATTTAGACATTTTTATTAGCACTATTTTATCAAATTTTTACTGTTTTTGAGTAATTGCGAAAAACCACTTTTGACAATTGTTTTCAGACTCAAAAACCTTTACACATTGTTTTTGTATCATAAAAACTACATTGTATCAAAAATGCAATGTTTAGTGCCAAATTTTGATTTCAGACCTAATTTGACTGGACTGAAAACACATAGCTGTCGTGAAACATCAACGCATATTATGTCAAAGTCATCATACAGATGGCCCTCGCCATTGCATCAGATTTGATGGATCACAAATCGTGACGAAAGAACATTGATTTCTACTGAGGGTGATTCGTGAGGTATTGAAATGAAACATAATTATCCTAATTTTAAAAGAGATGGCGGTTGGACACTACTACTATTATTATAATTATTATTTATTCTTTATTGCATTCCTTAAAAGACTTAATGCCTTGAGGCATTCTCTACCAGTCAACCCATGGAGTGGTGAGAATTTGACGTAGGTGCGGCAATATAGAATAAAATAACACTATATATGATTATATATAGTATGAACACAAAATGATAATTAACTACATAATACATCTGCTTGTACTCACCTTAGTTCCCTCCTCTTGTGACAATGGATGTTGCAAAGCATATGAAATGTTAGGAGTGAAAACTAAGTTCAATTAAACGCGATAGAAATCCATAAAAGTAGTTTTATTCAAGAAAATCATGTTTATATCGTGGTGAAGTTTGGGCGGTAGAGATACCGTATAATCTTTATTTTCCGCATCTAAAATTATCTATATAATTTTTTTATTCTATACTCTCAGTTCTTTTTTTAACATGTACTTGTGATTTTTCAATTTGTTGAATTGTATTTAACAATGTTGTGTCATTAGTGTTTGGTAAAAAGATGCATAGAAATGCAGCACTTAAAGCTACAAAACTAAATATTATAATTGAAACCCACTCAATTCCAATGTTTACAATAAATGGAGCAGCAAAACCTCCAACTCTAGCACTCATTGATGCAAAACCTAATGCGGAATTTCTGATAATAGTTGGAAATACTTCTGATGTATATAAATAGATTTGTACAAATGCCATATATGCACCTATTTGACTCACTATAGCAAACATTAGAGATAAGTAATCTGAACCGCTTGGTATAAAAATGAACAGAATTAACGAAAGTGATGCTACAACAAAACTTAATATTACACCCACTTTTCTCTTGAGATATAAAGAAGCAAGTACATTAAATATCATTCCAGGTACATGGAAAAGTCCCGAAAGTATTATATTAAGAAAAAAGTTTCCTCCAAGGCGCCCAATATATTGGTTAATACCAAAAAAGGTATTTGCACAGCAAAACCAGACGAATGCAAATATGAAGGTATAGATTCTTATTTTTGGCGTCTTGAATAAGTCTAAATAGGATCCAGATTTTTGTTTATCGTGCTTTGATTCTTCTTCCAATTTATCGACTAGCGCCGCAATGTTGCTAGTCTTTTTATTATTCCTGTAATAAAACACAATTTTTAATAACTTGATAAAGTGTCCTAAGTAAATTAAATTTAAAATTTACGATGATATTACCATTTTGCAATTTTGGTCAGAATATCTACAGCTTCTTTTTTCCTTCCCATAGTTATCAACCAACGCGGTGATTCCGGGAGTAACCATTGGTACATTATAACAAATACCCAAGGAACAGATGTGACTAATTGTAAATATCGCCACTGTCTTACATAATATGCTATAATTGGAAGTATTATGTAGGCCGTTACATAGGCTATTTCTGTCACTGCCGGCAAGTATGGTCTAAATGATTTACCACTTAACTCAACCATAAGTATGTAGCAACAAAGCATCGTGCCTCCAACGGCTGTACCGATCAAAAATCGACAAATGAGAAACATCCAAAATGCTGGGACCATTGCAGAGAGGATTATGAAAATAACATTGGTGATCATTCCTGTTAACGTTGCTATTTTACGACCGTACCTGAAAAAAAAAACTACATGAAATACTAAACGAAACGTAAACCTACACTCACCATACGAAACACAGCAGCATTGAGCTGCTATTTTACATTGGTATTCTGTGAGAGCGTGTTCCTTCCCCGATCACGCCAACCCATTCGTGCTACAACGATAATATAGCTGCAGTATCACTCTACCCTGTAAATAAGATTCCGGTACAGTACTGCGATTGCCAATCTACATGCCAAGCGTGGCGATTTAGGTAAATGCTTCCTAACGGGCAACGCTCATATTCAGCGGTGGATTTTCACAAGCTGATGATGATGAAGAACATATAGTATAATGATATCGTCTTTTTATCAATTTTATTCAATTGTTAATTGCATGTTAGGTATTTGATTGGTTTTTTTATAGAATCTCTATAACTTTTTAATAATTTTTCTGTGCCCCGGAATGGGACGTAATTAGGCTGAAGCTTTACTTTTATTTTCTACTAGCTGTGCCTGCGACTTGGTTCGCGTAGAATTTTTGTTAATAACTTTTTAATTATCCATTTGAATGACACAAGTTTTATTTCTTGGGAATTTTAATTATATTTTATAAGTTACACCAATAATCGAATTAAAACAATAATAGTATTCTTAGATATTTTCATAAGGAGTCATTTCATTGTGAAACCGATCAAACGCATGGATGATTTCAACACCGGAGATGACGTATCCGTTCAATATTATATTTAAATAAAACTAAGTATCGTAAATATGCACTAACATTATATAAAAAAGAGAAACTAAAGAAGAGGTTAACAATTACTCTAATTTATTAAACATAGAGTTAGTTTATGAAAACATAAGGAGGGAACGACAATTACTTAGCTGTGTAATAGCGGCGTAAGGGCCACCACACCAATCAAGCAATCGAGATTAGTCGACGTCGATCGAGCCGCTTGATTATTCGAGAAGCTGCCCCGCTCCATCGAACGAATTTTAAAAAATACTGATGGGGCTCATTGTTATTTGACTCACATCGATTACTGAACAACGTGTTATCGACCAGTATCCGTCGGTCAGCTAAAACTACCACACTAATCGATAGACATCCACCGACATCGATAGACGTCGATCAATGGCATCGTTACGGCCTACAGCTGCCCCTGCAAAGATCGGATATCCCGGGGCCCATGAGCGGAAGATTCAACGAGCAGCGGCAGGTCGGGCCCCAAATGGCCACATGAAAGAATGTCCTATCACACTAAGCTATATGGGAGAAGGCTAGGGAAATTATTACTTATTATTATTACTTACCTGTTTCCGACTCTTAGATCGCCCCAAGGCTCGGTCAGGCCGTAAGTGGGTATGAGGTGCATGGCAAGTAGTGTTTAGTGATGTGTAAATGTCTGAGACCTGGACCAGCTTAGGCGACCAGCAGCGGCCGAGTTCCAGGCTGCCCCACAATGCTGCATCGCTCCAGCAGGCTCCACCGCTGGACCATTTTTTTTTTGGGGGCAAACGAGCATGCGGCTCACCTGATGGTAAGTGACTACCGCCGCCCATGAACAACCGCAACACCAGGGGAATTGCAGATGCGTTGCCGGCCTTTTAGAAAGGTGTAAGCTCTTTTCTTGAAGGTTCCTAAGTCGTATCGGTTCGGAAAATTCGCTGGTGGTAATTGATTCCACAAAGAAGTTGTGCGAGGGAGAAAACTTCTTCTAAATCGCACAGTGGTGGACCGCCAATCATCCAGATGGTATGGATGGTAACGCGAGTTTTGTCGCGATGTACGATAGTGAAATTGAGCGGCTTGAATTAGTCCGAACAATTCCTCATTTCTTTCTTCATTGTCACTATTTCAGTCTATTAGCTTCATTGTACATTTAACTAACTTAAACTCGCCTAATTCCACATTCATCGTAGAATCGAACACGTGATACCCGACACAGTAAGGACAGTAGTTCAAAATTCGACATTCAATGTCCCGGATTCACTTATCACAAAATTATAAATAGGGAACTAACGCGATCTCTTAATGAGTCATACGGTTCAGCGTTAAACACAACTAAGTTCCTCCATCCGACACGAAAACACCACGTCGCGAAAAGAATTCAAAATACGCCTCGTTGACACGTAAACTAACAAACCAACCAACACACAAAAAAGGGCACTTAACGCAACGGCACAATTATAGTGATTTCCAGACAGTCAACCGGGCGATGCTCTCGACCCAGGAATGCGCGGTTCGAATCGTGCATTCCTGGGTCGAGACGCGCGCGTGCACAATCCCGCATCACCCGAACAAGTTAAATATTGCAAAATTCTCATATCCACGTAGCGAAGTAACACGCACTAAAAAACTATCTGGACCCTACACGGTCGCGTGAACTTCGGCTGCGATAATCGAGATACGCGGGTTCCCCGCATCGCGGCCAGCGAACTACTCCTTCTTCGCTCACGCGTCGAGCCACACAAGCCGCACACCGCCGCCCCACCTGGCGGCGTTTATCTCAACTACATACCATCGGGTGACGCGCCAGCTCGAACGCAATTGGATGGCATTCAAAATGACCAAATTTAGGCATAAACAGGCATCGATTATCGAACTTGGTCCCCCGGGACGTAGGAGAGTAATGGATTCTTACATACCGTAACAGGCCACAATGAGTGACACTAAAAATCTAATGGCTCTTGATATATGGCACTGCAACCCGAATCATTTACGTCAGAGCATGACATGAAATACTCAGACTGGCTATGGACCGTAATGTCAATTTTTTTATAGAATAAGGGTGACAAATGAGCACACAGTCCACCTGATGGTAAGTGGATGCTGTGGTCCATAGACATCTACATTTTTATTCTCGATTATGAATCAAAATGCAGATAGAATAGAATAGAATAGAATGATTTTTATTCAATATGGATTATTACATAATACTTATTGAAAGTCATTATTTTATTTACCACTGGTTCGGAAAATACCTCTGTCCTGGGAAGAACCAGCAAGAAACCCAGCGGGACTTTTTTTTAAACATAATTTCACTTAACAATAATTTTGTTTATACAATTTTAAATGAATTTTCATAAAACCAGCATGGTGGCGATCACCTTATTCCCAGGGGTTATTTTCATTCATGTATTCCTTGATATTATAATAACCCTTTTTGTAAAGTTTTTCTTTAATAAAACTTTTAAACTTGTTTATTGACAAACTTTGAACATGTTCTGGGATCTTGTTGTATAAGCGTATACATTGCCCCATAAATGAATTACTAATTTTGTGGAGTCTAGTAAGTGGCATTACAAGCTTATGTTTGTTCTTAGTGTTTAAGGTATGAACATCCTTATTCTTATTAAAGCTATTTATGTTTTTATGTACATAGATTACATTTTCATAAATATATTGCCAAAGTTAATATGTTTATTTCTTTAAATTTTTCTCTGAAGGACTCTTTACAATTTAGATTATAAATCGCCCATACGGCTCTCTTTTGCAAAACAAATATAGCTTGCCCCATTGAAGTTTCGCGTCAATAGTAATACCGAGAAAAACAGTGGTATCCACAAGACTCAACTCCTCCCCATTTAAGAGCACATTGGTTTTCGAATGTTTTACATTAGGTATTGTAAATTTAATACATTTTGTCTTATTGCCGTTTAAGAGCAAATTGGTGGCGTTAAACCAATGTACTAGTTTCGATAGAGCATTATTTACATCGTCATATTTAATTGACTGCCGTTTCAGTTTGAAAATTAAAGAGGTATCGTCAGCAAATAATGCCATATCGTGATTGTCCCCTACAAGATAAGGTAAGTCATTAATATAGATTAAGAACAGGAATGGGCCAAGAATTGAGCCCTGAGGAACGCCCATTGATACTACCGATCCGGAGGAACATTTACCATTGATAACGACTTTATGAGTTCTGTTACTTAAATATGAAGTAATAAGTCTAAGCGCCAAATTTTTTACACCGTAATGTTGTAGTTTCCTGATTAATGTATCATGATGAACACAATCGAAAGCCTTGGAAAGGTCACAGAAAATACCTAAGGCATCTTGTGAATTCTCCCAGGCATTAAAAATATATTTCATAAGCTCAACACCGGCGTCATACGTCAAGCGACCCCTTGTAAAACCAAATTGATTTTTATGAAGTAATTTATTTGTATTAAAAAAAATTAACAATTGATCCAAAATTATTTTTTCAAAAATTTTACTGAGAGTTGGTAGTACAGAAATAGCTCTATAATTAGCGGGGGCCAATGTACTACCAGATTTAAATAAAGGTATTACTTTACTATACTTCATTAAATCAGGAAACACACCAGAATCGATACAAGTATTAAAAATAATAGCAAGATGAGGTGCAATTAAATCTATTATGGACGCAATCATTGTAACGGAAATCCCCCACAAATCTGCGGTTTTCTTTACATCCATGGTTTTGAAGTATTTTACAATATTATGCGGTAATACTTTTTTAAATCTAAATTCTTTTAAACAGGTATTAACATTCTGTTTAAGTAATGACTCGGCGACAGTTGGAGAAGTATTCAATGACTCTGTTGTCAAGATAGGAACATCAGTGAAATATTTCTCAAACACCGCTGCGACTTCTTGATTTGATTTAGTCAATTCATTATTAATTTTTAATTGATAGTTTGAGTTACGAGGTTTCTCTTTACCGGTTTCGCTGTTAATTATACTCCACATCATTTTAATTTTATTCTTAGCCGTCTTAATTTTGTTACTAATATGTAATGATTTGGCTGTGGAGCAAACTCTTTTAAACATTTTAGAATAATTTTTTACATATTCTTTAAAAGCATCGGAAAGATTATACGATATTTCATGGTAAAGGTCATATAACCTTCGTCTGCTTTTATGAATTCCTACTGTCGCCCATTCATTAAATGCCTTGCGACTGTTTCTGGAGAATGTTTTAGAAGTGAATGTTTTATTAAATTCATTGTTTATAAAGGTAAATAATTCTCTATATTAATAGTCTGCATTGTTCTTATAAGA